TATAAGTTGGGTGATTTCGAAAGGAAAGAGACAATTTAATAGTTCCTTAGCTTTCCTTATCATAGCTTCACTATATTTATTTGTTTATTTACCTCTATCCAATATAATATAGTTTTTTAGTTCTCTTTATTTAAGCTTCGCTGTATTAATTTTGGAGAAATAATCTCCCTATCCTGATTACTCTTACCTACGAAATTACATTTCTTCTTTGAACGATATCCTAAAATGTTTGACCAAATAAAATATTTAATATTGTAGAGTTTCTGTTAGCTAGTGTAATTTTCTTAAGTTGAACTTCTTCTGAAATTGTTTTCTACCCCAAATAATTTTGACATTTGACTAATGCTCCGCATTAGTTCTGCCAAAAATTTCTTAATTTAGCTTTGCTGTTGCCATTGCTCGAATGGTTCACGTTCCGGACAAGAAATTTCAGGGGGTTGCATGGGCCGGTTCTGGGGCGCAGTTTGTATGGGTCGGTCTGAATGCCGAATTTTATTTTGGCCACAAGCCCGAGCACAAGTTTTTGAGTTTTATCTGCTCAAAATTTGTCACAGCAAATAAAAAGTTTTGCCTTTTCATTTTGCGCTCCACCGTTCGCCTTACCGTTGCATTCACAGTTTTTTTTGCCTTTTAATCCGCAGAGCAAGAAATAAAGATAAAACTTAAGCCAACATAAGTTTCTATAAAAGTGTGCTAAAAAGCGAGCTACGGACGAAGGGCGAACAGCGCCAACAACGAATTTGAAGTGCAGCAAAACTGCAGAAATAATGAAATAACAGCAATGCAATTAAAAGGAAGCTTCTGTTGATTTGCTGGATTAAGGTAGTACACACACACACACACAGGCATACATACACAAACACACCAAGCACCCCACAAGCACACAGACACAATGTCATACACAAGGCCAAGAGGTGCTGAATGTCGCGATAACCTTGGGGTAAGCAAACGCGTAAAAACTTTAAGTAGCTAAGGACTATAAAACAACGTTGCCAAATTGCGTTAACGTTAACGTCAACCACTTACAGAGTTACGTAATTGCTAGTCCAATGCACATTTGAGTTGCAACGCGCTGAACAGAAAATGTGAAGGGGCTTAAAGGAATCAAGGCAAGAATTGTTGCAATCACATCAAAAATCAAAAATAGAATTGTAAATTTCGAATAGATAAGTTTATGGAAAGGTAGAGCCAATCGTCATATACTCAAAGTACAAAAGTACAAATAGGCAGACTAGACCTTCCCGGCTATTAAAACATATATATACAGTAGTAGTCAGTATAGTCTTTTTAGACAGTTTCAATGGATTCAGGGTACAATAATGATTTGAAAGTTATGAAACTTACTACACTCTTATAATAGCTCCAAACTCTGGGTTGTGTATGCATATATATAATAAAATATATCCATGAGCACGGATTATTCTCTTAGTTTAATGTATTCAAGTTAATGTCTTTGTTATTTGACTAGGTTGATTATTTGAACAATTAAGCCACATTTTATCATATTCCTAGACAAGACGCAGGTGATGAACACGAACTAATTACCAAAGCCCTGGCCCACCCGCTGTGCTCATTTCTGCGTATGTAATATGGACTGCCACACATGCTCATCATATCGCTAAACCAACTCCAAAAGTTTATAAAATACATCCCTTTAATTAAAGTCTATTAAATTAAAGATGAGAATTTTCAATCAAACAACCCAACAAAACTAAGAACTAAGAAATGCTGATCAAAATACAACACCCAAGTGGCTTAAATTTGATATTTTCAACTAAGCGCAGGTTGTGCTAAATAATTCAATATTCATCAGCAGCCGCCACTAACAAAGCGTCCATTTCGCTGAAATGTCGCGAGCAGCGATAATTTTAGCAACCCAAACTTTCGAACGCACAAAAAACACACACACACACACACACATACACTCGTTCAAATTGAGATACATGGTTTTTGCATTCATGAAACACATGTTCGATCCGGATTTAGTTGTCGCTTTTGAGCGAAGTTTGGCCACAGCTCCGCCCGCCCATTGCACATCACATTAAAAGCATTTACGATAGATAGGCGAGACAGACAGAGTAAAATGTAAATGAGAAATGGAGACAGAAGTAGACAAAAAGAGTCAGCAGGAAGGAGACAAGTAGACACACAAAATTCCCCTTGTTCTTACCCATCTTATCGCTCTAAAGTTTTTGTTTTTGCTCTAGCGGTAAAATTATAATATAATTTCAACTATTACTCGTGCAAAAAGCTTAAATTAAAGTTTTCGTGCCTGCGGGGCAAACACAAACACTCAGACACAAACACATGAGTACTGAGGAAAGCAGCCATCTTGCTTCAAGTTTTTGAAAATGTTGAACGCACGCCCAAAACAAGCACACACACAGCATATCCGTCAGACAAGAGCAGATATGCTAAAGTTTAAATGATTCAAAGCAAAGAATGGAATTTGTTTAAAAATTTAGTTGGCGACTAAAACGTATTGGAAAAATTTCAAAAGCTAAGCAAAACAAACATTTTCAAAACTAGAGCAGCATATTATAGATTTGTAAATGTGAAGAGTTCTTTACAATATATACAAATCCAAAATTGGTGCATTCTGTGAGGTAACGATATATTAAAATATGCACAAAATTCAAATTATATTAAAGAAAAATTATAATACCCTCTGCAAGGGTATACAAATTATTTTGGCTGTCAAAATTTGAATATCTTAAAATTATATGCGAAGAAAATTTGTGAGAGTGAATATCCTTAAGTAGTAAATATATTCACGTATTTTTAAAATCAATGAATACATTCAATATTCAAAACAGCATTAAGGCTGTATTAATTTATTAATTATTTATTGATGTAAATCTGAAATATTTTTCGCATAATTGAAAACATTCTTACTTCGGGTACAGCATTATGTAATTATCAAATAAACTTGAAAGATGTTCTGAAAAGGCATTAACGGAAATGCAAGGCATAGTTATAATGTTGAATGAATTGCAGTTGCAAAGAGGTTCGCAACGTCAGCATCAATAAACTTTGACGCTAGACGAAATGCTTGAGTAGCCCAAGGAGCAGCCGCAACAACAGCAACATAGCGGAAAACCCAGAAATTATGGCCACACTTTCGTTTTTTGCAGCCAACCGCCGGACAAAGCCGAGCGCGATAAGAAAACGCCATTGCAACATTCTTGAATTGCAGCCAACAAGAACGGCAATGACAACAACAACATAAGCCAAGAATAAGAGTGAAAGAGAGTGCATTGTGGGCCATAAACTTGCGACAACGTCTTGTAAAAGTTTTGGCCAGTAGGAGCTGCGTTGGTGTTGGCTATCAGTTGGCCAGAACTTTACTGCTTACGTTCGTCATATTTACGCGTGAGTTGCATAGCAGCTAGGCAGGGGAGGCAGGGCGCTGGCCCTGGAAGCCGGGCGACGGCAGCAAGGAGCGGTTCCTATCTCAGCCAGGGCACACGAAAACATGCGGCTATAGAGGCAACTCCAGTTGTTGCCTGGCAAAAGGCGTTGCACGTGGCAGGATGAGGTTGCGGTAGTGGCAATGCCGTGGCAGCCACTTGTGACAGTTTTAAAATTGTCCAACTAGCCACCATGGACAGCACCGCAACAACTGACTGATAAATGTCGCTGGCCAGGCAGCAAATACTACTGCTGGCAACATTTCCTTATTTCCTGCCTGCCTGCCAACATAGCACGGAAAACTTTTAGGCCAAAAGGAAACCCCCGAGCGGCGGAAGCGTTCGGGGGCCATTTTTATGCAAGTCATAGAAATTTACAAGCCCCAGTGACAAGAATGTTAGTTTATGGTGTCAGTAATGACAGCGAATTGGTTCTAGCTATTTTTCAGCCAGAATTATTTTGCTGTTCTTTAAATTTTCATATATAGTAAATAAATTTATAAACGTTTTATAGAAAAATAAGTAAAAAAATTTTATGTATTTGAGATTTAAAAAAATATTCGCCTTTTTGGTTTTGGGACTCTTTGAGTACACAAATTTAGGTTGCATGAAATAATTTCATTTATCGATTAAATAATTTCGATCAGCGATTGTTTTAAGTTTTTTTTTAATTATATTTCATGTATTTAAAGATAGTCGGATTTTTTAAATATTTTTGTCCAAATTTTGAAAAAACAATTGTTTGGCTATATTCGAGCTATCTATCTAACTTTTTTTAAGTTTGTTTGTCAGTACTGCTAGCTCGGGTGGACATTTTGCTTGGGAAAACTTTTGCAGCATTGGCATATGCAATTGGGTTTGCTGCACATCCTGTCGACAGCTTGGACTTGGCAAACTTTTTCTACTGCTGTTGCTGTTAAATGTTGCAGGCGCTTTTTAGGCATTTCCAGTGGCCAAAGTAGCGGGGCAAAGTTTTTAATGAATTTTATAGCAGCCGCCGAACCACTGAACCGCAAACAACTCAACTGAGCCGTGTTGAACTACAGCAAAATCTGTGAAGCATTTGATTACGTAAGCTAAAGCGCTTCAATTGCACGTTGATAAGCGGGGTCCAGAGTGCAGGCAAACAATCGCGCTAATCACGCCAGACTGATAGACATATGTACGGACAAAGAGACAACCCGCTTTGACTTTGATGCGCTGTCAACGTTGCTGCTGCTGCTACTGCTGCTATTGGTGTCGGTGTCGATAGTGTCGCTGTTGATATTGGTGTTGATGTTGATGTTGGTCTCCGTCTGGTCATTAAATGCAGCACATTAAAGCAACAGGAGCTGATGTCGACGTCAACGTTGTCTGACAAGCGTTGAGTCAATTACATGGTAATAAACTAATGGCCAATGTCTGCCTGTCTGTCTGTCCGTCTTTTGACCATCAGCAGTAGCCGAAGCCGTAGCCGCTTGACATGTTCGTTAATCTGCGGTAATTGTTGAACTCTTGGTCCAATGCATGCGCCCACCAGCGTCGAAATAATTGGCTCGATGATGTGAAATTTATTATGAATTATTGCACATAATTCCCAAATCTAAAATCTTCTTTTCTGCTTTGGATTTATTTGCCGCGGTTGTCTTTACCTTGGGCACAAAATGTATAGGAATATTTAAAATATATATACACATATATCGGAGACCTTAAGCATGCACACACTTATTGATATTCAGCTGATAGGTCGAACCGGGCGGGCAGGTGCCATGCACGGGCCGTTCCTTGACACACAGATTCGTCTCGCTGCTGAAGCCGGTCGGACAGCTGGAGCCCCAGGCGGTACCGAGCAGTGCCAGAAGCAGCATCACAAGCCAAGTACAACCGCAGTTCATAGTTGCCGAGTGTGTTTTCTACGAGGAGTAATTACAGTTACGTTAGTTGAATACCTTTCACCTTAATCAAGTGCAGTTCCCACCTGTAGTAAATGCAAAATGCAACTACTTACGGATCTGCACTCAGCTGTGCGCTTATATAGAGCCGGCACGCGACTTATCAGCGGCAGCTGTTTACATTTCGGACTAAGAAAAGATCATCCCTAGTTCTAATAGGGTCGGCCGATCATTGGGTTAATGTCGGGCAAATTGATAATGAAATGTGTGCAAAATAAGACTATTCAGCGATTAATTAAATCAAAACAACGTCTATTATATGGATTTCAATTACATTTTATTCAATTTAGTTAAGCTCCAAGCTATGCACCGTAAACGCAGGCGTTGACGCCAATCTTATAGGTGGAGCCCGTGGGGCAATCGCCGCGAATAGTGCGCTGGCTAATGCATTGGCCATTCTCGCTCCTAAAGTCTTTGGGGCATTTGCCAGCCGAAACGACAGCAGCGAACAGGGCAAAGATAACCAGGCACAACCACGAGAAGTTCATTTTTTATAAGCTGCATTAAAAGAGTAAAAAGGATTACTTGGCATAAATATAGAACAGATTAAAATATAGTAATCATTTTTATAAAGATGCAATATTTTATCAATATATAAATGAATACATTCCCGATATTAAGAGTTGCAATATTTGTAAAAACGTCTACTTCTGTTAAAGGATATTGAAAAACGTTGCAGAATTCCTATTTATAGTGTTATTTTATAGCACAGCATAGTTTAATCATATGTGCATGCGTATAAGAATATATATATAGAATATATTATTAAGTCGAAAAATGAACAGTTGATTCTGCATTCCTTGGAGCTGGTAATCTGTTTATATGCAACAATTTAGTTTATAGTTGTCACCTTGCTTAATATCAAACATTTGCTGCATTTTACTTTATGCATTCTAAAACAACGCTTTTAATTTCACTCATGTTGCATTTCTTGGAGTTCTGTTTCCCCTTAAGTTTTTTGCACAGCTTTTGTCACTTACGTTTTGTCTCTGCTTAACAATTCTTGAAACTAAAATATTTCGACTGCTGCCGGCATGTTTTATAGGAGGTTGGGCGTTGAAGCCTTATCTCGTGGCTCGACCCTTTGACACAATCAGCGCCATTTAAGCTTAAATTGATAAGGCTTCTGAAAAATCCAAAGAGCCAAAAAGTAAAACGAAAGCTTGACACATATGAAATGCCTGAACAATGCACCGAATGGGGAAACAATTGCTGAACTGGACAAAAGGCCTCAGCGCTTTACATGGCCTCAGCGGTGGGCACTTGAGCGCCGAAGTAGGCGTCAAAATCAGCGAAATCTGCACCAGAAATACCAACGAGTGGAACCAAATTGTCAAGTGTGTGCGGCACAGGTGAAATGCTGCGCCACATTGTCCAGTCGAAACAATGGACAGGTCGAGAATTGTGGATTGGCGCCTTTTGGCCCGGGGGCCTGTCACTGTCACGTTGACAATGGACATGTGCCTCCACAGAACTGAAACCACGCCTGCCCAAGCCTATTGGTCATGCATATGTCATTCAAATACAATTACATTCGGAGGCATTCACTCTGACTGCAAGAAGCGGTTCAACATGACCACGATATGAAATCATTTTTAATACTTTTGTATACCCTGTATCCATTCAATGCACATTAAATGGGTATACGGAAGTGTATTTACCGAGTAAAACAAATTTCGCTCTGTTTTCTAATATCAAAACCAACTATTTTTATTTTATAACCTACGTTTATACTAAGGGACGGTTGATAGACACAGATTGTTTTACAGAGTACAGTGTCAAGTCAACCACACGCAACTACATGACTTTGCTTGAATGTCAATACTCTTAGGTATCTTGCAGCATGCACTAATATTTCTCTCCTAAGTACGTGGTATAAATAAAAAAAATGTGAGCAGAATTTTGCTGTTCAAATATTTTAAGCCAAGCCACAGGATATCTCCTAGTCGAGCCAGCATTGAACAATAGATGCTTTTTCGGCAGCTGCGCATAAATCAAATGCTAACGAGCCATAAAGTTTCATTGTCGGTTCCCATTTGAAGTGCCATGCGGGTGAGTTCAATATTTGTATGTTATAGTTTGATTTTGATATACGACAAACAGTTCTTTACCCCCCTGCCTGTCTCCTTTCTACGTCTCGAAGGTGGCCACTCGAGCTGAAGCCGAACAGAGCGTCATAATTCACTCAACACTTGGCTAGTGTTCAATACTCGGTAAATGGTTGCGTGTCCAAACAGTGGACAACAATGTGGGCACAGAGGCAACAACTTTGAACAGCTTTGGGCCAGCACATGGTCTCTGGTCAGGTCTGGTGCCGACTGGTCATGCCTTGGCTTTGAATTATTGATGGGCGTATTAAGAAGATTAATGTGATGAGCCATGGCATAGAGTTTTGTCGACGTCGACGTCGTCGCTGTCGTTGTCGTTGGTCATGTTAATGTCTTCATTGTCGGCTTAAAGCTTTACCTTTACCGTTAGCTCTTAGCAGGCCCCTCAGCGCGCTCTCCCTTTCCCTCTCTACGTGTGTGAGTGTAGTAGATTTGGAGCGCTCCAATTGAACGCCAGCAACAAGAAGAGCCATAACGTTCATCAACGTTGCCATTCGAGGGTCAGGTCGATTGGTCATTTGGTCGCCTCGCCTCGCGTCCCGTCGCGTCGCGTCCCTCTGCCATTCGATTCATTCGTTTCACTCGTTTATTTCGTTGCGCGTCCATAAGCCATTTTTCTTCCTGATGCACATAAGTTTAAGCTCAGTGTAATTTATTTTTATAGCCATGTAGTCGACGTAAAGATTGCAAATATGTAGTTGGCGTTTGCTATATAACATACAAAAAAAGAGAATCTCTTGTCGTTAGTTGCAAATCAAATGCTTGTCCTGGCATGGAGGCAACTCCTTTTACAGCTACCCCACTCAATTCCTTTTATGCAGGATATGTCCGTGAATGTGTGTGTGTGTGTGTGTGTGGAAAGGATTGCATGACTGCTAGTTGGGAATGTGCTGTGCTGCCACGGCTAAATGGACACACCTGAATGACAATCGACGACGACGACCAAGAAAGCAACGCAAATGTTGGGCTAACCCATCTATAATTTAAGAAATGCGCAGAAACTTTTTCCTGTCGGTTTAGGCTGGTGCAAAACTAAAATTTAATATGAAATCTAACAACAAAGAGACTTGGCAGAAAAACTAAAAGTTAGTGCTTGAAAAGCAAAGTCATACATGAGATTTAGCACTCTTTCTAATGCTGAGACCTACGTACGGAAGAATTAGAGAAGCGATAAGCTTCTTATATTATACTTCTGCTTATATTATACTTCTGAAAGCCTTCAGGCTGGATGCAGTAGAAGAAAAAAATGCAAAGAACAGGCAGCACAGCGGGAAGATTTAAGGAGTAAAGCGGTCAAAAACACTAAAGGTTTGTTTGTCATAATTCATTATAATAACAGGGGTTTTTGATTACTTGATTGGTTAACTTCTCCCTTTATTTATCTTTTTGCATATCGCGTATCTTTTGTTAGCTTCTCGCTTCGCGATTCATTTTACTTTTCGCTTGACTATTTACTTCTTCTAATCCCGCTACTTAGTTTCTTACCTTGCTTCTCCCTAAGCTTTTTAACTACCTTTGCTGTTCAGCTTTCCGTCCTCACTGTCTTCCTCTTCTTATTTTTATACAGCCAGTATCTTTTCACTCTTAATTTCTCTCTTCAGCTATCATTAAAATTGCCAGTTAATTACCGTACATTTTTGCGCAACAAAGCTTTTGCTGCTGGCTTCCTAATTTGATATACGATTGGCCTCACACTTGGTTTCTTGATTAGCACTGCTGTTGTCCTATATGTACAAGATATCCTCACAAAATATATAATCTTATATAAGCAAATTAAATTAATCTGAGCCAAATATTAAATTTCTCTGCTTAAAGCCCAGACTATCATCCCCATTGTTCCAGTTATTCCCTACTGATATTTGAATTGCTAGTTGCTACTTGTCATTTAACTCTGTTGATACACATGTTGCACGTTGTTAGCGATTGCTGTTGTAATTATTATTAACTGCAGCTTGGCGTTCTTGTTGCACCCCGTTGCAACCACTAAACCAAACTATTTTGTGCCACTGATGCATTTCTCATTACGTTGCTTATTCTGCCTCTGGACGCGGTTGATGCCAACCGCAGACATTGACTTTGGTGAAACTGTGGCATGCGGTGGCCTGGTACTGCCGCTGGCACAGATCTGATAGCCATCTGTTATCCATAGTTACATAGCCAAAGCCATGGCCAGGACAGCCCAGCAACCCCCAGCTGGGCTGCTCGTGGCGCTAAGGCCAAAGCTACAACCAAAGCGAATGCTGTTTTTATTGCTGCCACAATGTTTTAACTTTTGTGCCACCGCCAACCAACTGTCGCGTTGCATGTTGCCGCTATTACTGCAGCATTTAACCACTCAGGCAGCCAGCCAATCACCCGCTTCGTCTTGCCACCGGTGCAGTGGTGTGACGGTGGGGCAGTAGGGCAGCCAGGCACACAGCATGGCAAAACGTGCTGAGTTTTCGTAATTAGTGCGCCGGAGTGCAACTTGCCCACGTACTAGAAGTTGGCGAATGGAGAGAGTAGGGGTCTCTATTGGTAAAGAAGCAGCCAGAAAGTGTTACCCCTATCCCTAACCGAGCCCTCCCTCTAACCCATATCTCAACCTATTTAGGCGACTGGCAACTACACGTTTATGTCGCTCAGCTGCTGCTTTGGAGCTTTTGAGTGTGCCATGGCAGTGTCTCTATGTGTGTGTGTGCGTGTTCTGCAGCTCGCTTGTTGGTTCAAGTAAGTTGTTAGTTCCGTCGCGTATGACACACAAGTTGTCGCCTTTAAGCCGCTCCTCTGAGTACTTGTTGCCAATATTAAATCCAAAAACTGAGGAACCAACTGTAGCTTTGTGCGTGTGGGATTTTGTGGGTGTGTGAGAGTATGCTCCTTATGCATTATATAAACCTAACTAAATTATCTCACTTTTCTCCAAGGAATTCTTAGCCCAACATTCCCTTTGTAAAATCTAAAATAACCAAGAGATATACATACAC